CTGCCAGAATTTCGTCTGATGTAACGTTTGGTTCTTTATTCGGCTGTCAACATGTCAAACTAGCGATCAAAGACTTCAGATTTTGGCCTAGGATCAGAGGAATCTTTTCTCAACATTTGTCTCAGATGGCCAAAACCATGGCCAAAATCGTACAGTGTGAACCTGTCTTTAGTTGAAATGTAGTTGCAAAGTTACTTAAAGTTAGTAGAATATCTAAAGTGGACCGTCAAAATAAAGTGTTACCTAATGTTTATATGTATGTTTATGTGGGATGACCTGTCAAGTGAAACCTCAAAGGCCTGTGAGCTCTGAGTAACATCCACAATTACTACAATATAAAAGGTTGCTGAATGCACACACACACATGATCCTTCTCTCACTCCACACTCAATTGTCTGGAGCTGAAATATTTCTCGAAACAATCTATATTGTTAAAAGCTCTGTATAAATGAAGGTGACTTGACTTGACTCGCTGCACTATATGCCTCGCCATTACATTTATTGTCATGACAACACATCAGGATGAGTCTTCTCTGCTATCAGAATGTCTGTTTACTTATCTGATGGCTTTTCTCAGGAGGGAAAATAAGTGTAAAGCATGTAAACAACATCTGTCCAGTCAACCTGTTGTAATGCCTCAATTTGATCATTATAACTCAATTGCTGCAGAAGGTGATGCTAGCGCCTTGATTGACGTCTCTTAATCCCAGCCGAGGACTCTTACACACTTTTTGTCCTGTCATTGCTAATAGCTAGATTAGGTCGGCACTTCCCCCTGGCGTGTAAAGGGGATCTCATTCATCATTCAGGCTTTTATCGGCATGTGAGGCACATAAAAACGCTCAACAAAAACATTCACGATTGCAGAGTCATTGACAGGATTAGCAGGCATGCTTAGCAGGAGTGCTGGGAAATTCTGGCACGCGAAACCATTTCATTGTATGGATGGGCTATCCGGCTCTCACGCGTTGGCAATGTGCTCGATGTTTCAGTACGTTTGAGATTTGTAATCCATATTTAGTGCGACCAGAACCAATTGTTTCTCCATTTCAAAGTAGAATGGATGAGCATGTTTGCATTCAATGAATTAACAAAATTGGCTGAATAGTGTTTCTGGGGAGGTTTGATTTTAACGTCACAAGTCTGTGTTTTTTGGCTAGGCATGACTATTGTCTTGTTTTACAGAGGCAGAAAATTACCCCTTTTCCATCAAAATGGTTTTGGTTCTCCTGCCAGAGTCAGTGCTTGGCTAGCGAATCGACAAACCTCTCTCAGAACCGGGCAGCGTTTCCACTGACTTTGTTCCAGAGCCAAACGATGAGTATGTTAGCCTACTGCATAACCTGCCTACAAATAAACGTGATGCATATCCGTCTTACGAGTTTTGAGAACATATTTTAACATCCAAAGACATTTGATTGAGCATTTTTTGCCACTACGAGCTGCTTTTAAAAAAAAATTCTATACAGGATAACAAATGCACAGATAACAAACACATACAACACAAATTGAAATTCTGCAATATTATAAGCACAACACAACTAACAAAACCCCAACCAATTAACAATAAAGCAATGAAATACTCTGAAATTAAATAAAAGAAGAGAATAATACATTAACACACATAAATTATTTCAAAATAAAAAATGTAAAAAAAAAGAATAAAAGTGGTGTTCAGCTTGTAAAGTCAATAAATTGTCCAAGGACAGACGCAATACTAATTTTCAAGCTTTTTTTAATACATGTCAAAGGTAGTGGGTACAAGCTGCTTTTGATGAAATGGTCAACGATTAATAACCATAATGAAACTCATATCCCTAAAATTCATACATTCAGTAAGGAATTGGAAATGTTTCTGTAACTCCATCAGTACATGGCACTAGCAACACCAAAGTTATGAGTTTAAATGACTTTTGATGACTGATGACTGATATTTTGTTATCATATCATTACCAGTTGATATGAAAGAGTTCTTAATTTATCTGTATATTATTGGTTAATTAATTGTGTATGCATGCTCATTTCCCCTATACGTTTACATAATTTAACGCTCACTTTAAGTTAACCCTTAAAAACACTAAGAGTTAAATGTAATTTTTAGCAAATTTTAACATGAGTATCCATTTTTCATAGTGTACATTATAATGTCGTGATGGATAAACTCATTTGTAGCATTTATTTTTTTGTTTGTTTGTTTTTAGTGTGTTAATTTTAATCTAATTAGACAAAATATAGAATATAAAGCAGCTGTAACATTTAAAAAAAGATCATAATTTACCAGACATGTACAAATATAAGTAAATGAAATAAACCGATGTGGAGAAACAAGATGTCTGTCCATTGAACATTTCCATTTGTAGACAGCTTTGTGATTAAAGTGGTTTTTGTTCGTTTTTGTTTTTGTTTTGCATTAGACTTGCCAGGCTGAGTTGTTGTTATACAAACTTATTCTGGTTTCTCTTTAGAGACCAGAAGGTTATAAGCTTCTGCTCTAGCTTTAAGTTGCTGTCCGTGGTTCTGAATTATCCAGAACTCTCCATACTGATGAATAGGACAGATTGAAGACAACACTATTAATTCTGCATAGCTATGTGTTAAAAAAATAGTTCCACTTGAAGCTCTCCATGTTGTGTGTCTTTCAAAATGTTTCTGTGTTTTTGCATTTTTTTCCCGAAGTCCATGACAAACAAAATTACACATTTACCTTTATACAACAGGAGACAAAGTGGCTCAATACTCCAGCATAACAAGACAGCTACATTATGAAACACCCCCAATACTTCACAAACATGACCAGAAATTACATCAGTCTGACTCTGAATACTTTTGTCCACACATATTGGCTTTCTCAACTCGGCCGGCAAATGTATTTCATGCCAAAATTTATTCCACTCCGTTAAACTCTCTCCTAAATTGCTAAAGTGTCAATGGGTCATCCATCAATGAAAGCCTTTTCAGCACAAATCCTCGGACACTTTCTCTTTGGTCACATACTTTCACCTTGACTCTCTTACAATCTCAGACTGGGGCAAAATGTTCTCGCACTCAATGGATTCAGAGAGGGAGACAAAGCCTCTTTCTGGCCTGCTATGGAAGCTGTGCATGCATTTGTCTGGGGATTGAGGGTATCGATTTGTAGAGGGGTTATCTTGAGGCGAGGATGTGCTGGTGGTATAGCAGCTGTATATGGTGCTTTTGAGCAGACAAAGGACGGGCATGGGGAAAAGAAAGGAAGATGGGCTTTGATTTATGGGTCTCATTGGCAAGTGGGTGTCTCTGGTGACAATGTCGGTATACGAGGATGAATGCACAAACATGCATGTGTGCGCACACACATATAGACATAGACATAACCCTACTTATGCTATCTCTTGCTTGTCTCTCGTTCTGTAAAGCTCATTGCACATGTTTTATGTACAGATTATATCTCCATTCGCAAGAAATTTGCTTTTCTGCAAACAAACAAACAGATTCCTCACACTCTCAAAAGCCGTAATGCATTGGTGTGGCAAAAAAGCACACCAAAAAAACATTGAGTCTGATTAGATAACCATAATTCAAAAGGGCCGCATTGTCCCTATAGAGCTGTTCTCTTTGCATGGCTGCTTCTGTAATGATGCATAATGATACATCCACATTATTGCAGATGTAGATTATATGGTCAGAATGAAGGCAGTTTGTGTGCGCTTTTGCTCAACTTGTGCTGTTACTACAAAACCTCAAAGCAGTGTTTTCAGCATGTTTTGCAATCATTCAGTGGGATCCATATAAAAAATGTTGTGTCAACACTTCACTTTCCCTAATTGCCCATGGCATGCTGGGACTGTTTAAACACAACCCCACCACATTAGCTTCACACTGCTCGGTATATGTGAGCGGTTAGGATCTTTCGCACTGCTCTGTGATCAGCACTAACCACCCAAACATGGCCAACACCACTACGAGTGGGGCTGCAAAACCGAACTGGAATCAGAAGAGGGCAGTTCCTTCCGCCTTGGAGGGATTACAGCTTTACCGGAAGAGGGAAGGAAAGAAAGGTTAAGCCACTGTTGGTTGCCAGATTCAGCACCTTTCTTTTTGCAGTGTTCATGTGCGCCTCACGCAGAGGGTCTGGCCCTTTATATTAGAGCACAGCGTCAACAGGACCCAGAGGGGAAACAGCAGCACAGCAATCATTGAGAACAGTAAGTTACTTATTTTAACTAACAATATATATTAACTAAACTAATGTTTGATTTAATAAACATGTGTTTGATGAAACACGCTTGTTCTATTTTATAGGTTTGAAGCCATATGAAATGCCTTTTTACAGATTTTGCAGATAGATAGATAGATAGATAGATAGATAGATAGATAGATAGATAGATAGATAGATAGATAGATAGATAGATAGATAGATAGATAGATAGATAGATAGATAGAGTGTCCTATGGGCACAAATTACTTTATGTAGCTTTGAATACTTTGAATGTCATGACTAACCAAGGCATTCATGCAATTTTAAGCTTTTTCTCTCAAAGCTGATAACATCTGCAGTCAGCAGTGGACTTGTCCAGGTTAACCTCAAGATAAATCTCTGTTCTGCGTGATATTTGAAATGTGCCTAAGAATAGAGCTCATTATATATAGCCTACTGCCTAAACTGCTTGTCTTGTCTGGTTTAAGCTGGTCTTCCAGTCTGACCAGCTGAAAAGTGGTCAGAAACCCTCTAAAACCAGCCAGCAAACCTGACAAGGATGGGATCGAGAAATGTTGCTGAGTTTTTTTTATGCTATTTTCTCAGTCTGTAATCTACGAGAACATGTTTGTGCTATAAAAATATTTTAGCATTTGTTATTTTCTGCGCAATAGCCGGAACAATAGCATTCTTTGGTCCATCTTTGCGAAGCAAATAGGCGAGGTTTGAGCATTTCCCCGAGCGCGAGCAGCAATGCAGTCCAATCAATTACGTTTAATTCAATTCACTTAAACTTCCAGCGCGCTGCGAAAGAGAAGCATTTATTGATAATGAATTCACAGCGCTCCTCCTCCTCCTCTCGTACTCCTGTTCGCCGCTGCGCATTAAGAGACAGCTGGCGATGAGAGGAATATCCCTCTACTCTCATCTCTGTCACCTCACTTGTGTTTTCCTCAAGCACTGCGGACAGAAAACGCTGTGCGCGGAGCTTTATAAGACACGGCACGAGGAGGATGCGGACCGCCGGGGTTTGGCCAGCGACCGTCACTCTCCTGGTCCCCTGGGACTGATTTTCGGTCAAAAATATTGAATGGGCGTTTGTATCGCCGTCTCCGCTGATTTCCGTGGATACCTGCTCGGATATTGTGTGACACGGCTTCAGGATGAAGAGGATGAACGTAAGCACTTCAAGTGTGTTACTGTGCAAGCATGCTGCCTGCAATCTGTGTGTGTTGAAGCGCGGCTGAGTTTATTTTGTTTGGAATTGGCTTTACTGTACGATTAACGCGCAACTTTATGGTCTTTGGGTGCGTTTTAGGTGTAATGTTAAGGCATGAAACGTGACTAAGACAAATCGATCTTCAACTCTTAGAAACAAGGATTAAGATTCGTGGTTTGCTGGACATTTATCGATTGTTCGTTCCATTTGTGCGGATGCAGTTCGTGACCGGGTGCGTTTACGCGTTTTTTCTCTGGCTACATCATTAACACTGAAAATCATTATAAAGTGAGAAAGTAGGCTACATGCTCTAGTGTGCCTTCTTACAAAGGCAATTGCAGGCATTGCTCAAGCATAAGTAATTTACAATTAATTAGAAATGGGAATCGATTCAGGATGCGATTCTGAATCCTTTTAACGATTCAGTTTCCTTAACGGTTTCAGTAGCAACTCTTAGTAGGCTAATAAAGAAAAATCCAATTTTTAATTGCATTCATCAGTATGTTGCATTTCCATAATAAATATATAGGTAGCCTAATATAGGAATTCCAAAGAACGTTTACACAGACTTGTAATTTTCCTTTTATCAAATAATTGGCCCAACTACAGTTTAAGTAAAATACAAGTAACTAAGTAAAATACAAATACCATTTCATTCATTCATGCATTCATTCATTCAAATGCATACAGCTAACAAAACTCATAATGTGCATCTTTAAATAAATGAAGTAGCCTCATTTGGGGGAATTTCTTTCAACTTGACAGCGTTCTAAAAACGAGCTGGAAAAGACAAGAGCACATTGAACGCTATCAAGCGTTTTGACTACAACGCCCACTACGGTCACATAATTTCGATGGGTCACAGCATAGAATTCGGTGTAAATCCGGCTTATTTGTTCGAGAATCGCATACACTGACCGATGTGTTTTGTGCACGTTCACACAGCTACAGATAAGGTTGTCGTTAAGAGAATGCTAATACTCTTACTTTTACACATCCGTTCGGTGATTAACCACAGTGACAACCTCATTTTAATACCAAACTGACTCCCTTTAATTTTAACAACTGACATTCAAGCAAACTTGTGCGGAACCGTACAGGACAAACTTGCATGTCACTTCATTCACTAGGCTACAATTTACGGGTATTTACTCATTTATTAAATAAGGTTGTTTACTGTTAAACTATTTACGTGTTATGGACGCCACCATCTTTTCTTTAGTCAAATAGACTCTTACTAGTTCTGCCATATAGCCTTGAGTATGCTTGACAATCTTGCACAACATGGATTATTTAAAAGATTAAAACATCTAAAATCTTACGAGCCATAGAAAATCTTACTCAACATTTAATAAACGAATCCAATCTAGATGCCAGTTCATCTGTCAAATCTAGAATTCTGTTCCGAATTCAGCCACTGTCACTATGGTTACGAAAATATAATTAAAAAAAGACCCTTCAGTAATTTGTTTATACAGTCAGAACCGTTATGTTTGTTAATCCCAAACACTTGACTGTGTGAATGTAATTTTTTATTAATTAAAACAAAGCAGCTCATAAGACACACTGTTTTGGGAGTCTGGCCATACTTTATATTTTTGATAAACTTAAAAGAACTGTATCAAGAGTAATTTTTACAGGAATCAGACTACACTGGTCTCTGCAAGTTTTGCGTTGTAAATTCAAATGGAACTGCTTCTGAATATAGAAACTAGTGCTTGATTGTCAAGGTGTGGTCATGTTTACCACTTTTCAGCAGATGACTGTTACCACTGTTCAGCAAAATGAGTGGGCGAAACCCACTCATTTTAATAGGAATCCACACGATCAGGGAATTCATGTGAGGCTCAAAGATTTCTCCACACTGATTTTGTAACTAGTTCAAGTTGGTTACTCAGATTCATCACAATGACAACAGAAATTTGCTCGGGTTGAAAGTGGCAACTGTACTTTATAATTCATTACACCATTGACAATAGTGGACATTTCTTTTGCTTGTTAAATTTTGTTAAATTGACCACATCCTCAGTCTTAAAGAGATTCCTCCAAATTGTGTGTACATACACAACCATCCATCCATTCCAGTCCTGGATTTCTAAAGTTGTTGAATTCTGTCTGCAGCCTCGCTGGAAGTCGCCACCCATGTGGCCGTCCGTAGTGGGCAGCAGACAGCCCTGTCCCCGTGAATCTGCTCTGCGTAAGGCAGCCATTAGTGGGAACGTCCTTGCACTCCCACCGTTCCATGTCCCCACGGGCAGGAGTGTCCGGGTCTTCATCTGTGCCAACCCTGATGGTAAGTAGCCTTTTCCCTCACTGTATATGTGAAAAAAAAAATACTTTGGGTTCTTCATAGTGCCACACTCAAAGAAGTCATTTGAAGGTGCACCAAATATCCATTCCTAATAATGAGCTTACTGGAGGAACCGGTTATGGTCTTTAGAGTTCTCAATTTTGCAAATTCCCCAGAGAACTTACCTTTAAAATTGGGCCTAAAGGTTCTCCAGAAGGTTTTGCCTATGTGATGACGAGGCACCATTTTGGAATACCTAAGATCAAATATCTTTCATTTTTAAATAGTTTAGATTATTCATGATAGGTGCATGAATATGTGTGTATGAGAACTTGAGAATCACCTGAACCCAAGGACCATACTGACGGCAGTGCACAAACACACTGTTCTGTCAACCAGACTGACACCTGTTAATGCGCGAGCGATGTGCAAGACGTGCTTTATCATCCAATGTGTTAATGAAAAAGATTTTACAGTAATGAATTCAGATGGCAATGACAGTTCCACATCATGCCGTTTCATAACACATGCTGCCATCCTCAGAGATATGGTCATTGCTAATGTCTGCAGGACCGCTGTCCCGTGTGCTTTGACAAGAGCAGCAGTGACAGCAGTTAGTGGAGCCGTCTGTCTCAGCACTGAACATGGGTTTCAACAATCCACAAAAACACTGGACAAGCAACCGTGACACAAAATATGGTGCTGCTTTACAGTCATACACTCTCTAATATTAATATAGGGGAGCTCTCAGTCTTCAGTTTGCTCGTGGCTGTGTGAAAGTGGTTAACGGAGTGGGAATTTCTTGCTCCTATCCTGAGAAATCGGTCATCATTTCCACCATCGATTGCTCATTTTTACATCTTAAGGCTTAAACCCAGGGCTACTTAGAATTGACCTCAGATTTAATGAGTGCCAGGGGAACTAGGCGGCACATACAGTATGCAGTCATAGATTTAAATATGGGCTGCAGGGAGACCTTAAAATAGTACTTCTAATCTAGGAGTAAACAAGCCAAGGGAAAGTATAAAATGGGTTAGGAGGGAGATAGAGAAAGAGGGATGCAGAAATGAGCACAGAGAGGTGAGGATGAAGTGAAAGGAGGGAAGATACCGGTGAATAAATTAGATCGGCGCAAGGACGTCTTAAATAAAATGATGACCTTTCAAGCTGAAGGATTCACGATAAAGACTCCTCTAAGTCGAAGCTATAACATAGGCGACCTCGTCATATTCTACCTGTAGATGCACTCGTTCCTGATGCAAATGGATGTGGTTACATGCATTATTCCTAAATAATAATAATAATAATGAAAAAACAGGCCATTATTTACTGGTAAATAATAGTATCCAGTATATATATTATAATATTAATATTATAACTACTGTGTACTTGGCATTTGTTACAATATACTTATGTAAATACATGTTTACCTCTTTAACCCCAACCATAACTCTAAACCTAAACCTAAACATACCTCAAACTCATTAGCGGTAAATGTGGGAATATAGAACATAGTTACACAGTATATCCAGGTTAAGGCCAACTAATATAAAAAGTGTGACCAAATTAATTCATTATTATTTAAAAAAACATATTATTGTAATTATTTTATAATTATTTTAAATTATAAGGTGGAATGTGTCATGTTAAATACTTTCTCATATACCCTAATTTAATTTGAAGAGACGATAAATAAGTCATTCATTCAGTAGATTGATTTTCCTGAAGGGTGTAAACACTGTGGCTCTGTAGTGCTGTCAAAACACTGTTCAGTTTGTTTGAGTATCCTGACCAGCTGATACAGCAACATTGGCTCAACCAATGTGTGAGTTTGTGGCAGGAATATGTTTGTTTGTTTGACCAGTAGCAGACAGATGGAGTTTTTCGGAAAAACCTGCTTGAAATGGTTGTTATTTTGTGCAGTTTTATTTTTCATTTAATTAATTAAATGGCTTTCATTTAAATTAAATAGTTTCCACATTCAAACACCATGCTGAAAACACACTTTATGCTGTGTAACTTGGTATTATACTGGAATATTATAAATAGAGTGAGTCTGAAGTCAATTTTCTACTGAAATAGGAGATTAGAGAGATTTTGTTCTGGTCAAAAGCAGTCAAAAGCCCTGGAAAGTCAACTGCTTGAAAATGGTTTAGAGAGAGGCAGAGGTGACGGTGTGTGTGCTGACTGAGAGAGTGTGAGGTGGACTGTGGAATCTAATGTACTGAACCTGTAGATGCACAACTTAGAGGTGATGTCAAGGTAGAGAGTTAATGACACTTTGAGTGGCTGAACAAGCCAGCTGGGCTTTGGTGCAATGCTCTTCCCCCTTAAGCACTAGAGGGAGCAATTTAGACATCACATATTTTACAAAAAGGGAGTTGGCCTTGCACACAGTCTCATAACAACTGTTATGTCTTACTATTCTCACTCTTATACATCCCTTGACTTGAGAGGAGTGATTTCAATTTGGTTAGAGCTATTGGATAAGTCAGCTCTGTGATTTAGGGGGTCTACTAGGGGCAGTTAGGACAGCAGTTGCTGGAGTCTTGCTGAGGTTGAGATTGAGGCTTTGAGGAAATGAATGTGATAACATTTATGTGCTCGTTTTTATTGTTGTTGTTGTTTGTCTCTTAGTAGGGTAACCAAGGGCAACTAGAGTTGTATATGCAGGAGTTTTATTCTGCTTTAAGGACCTTGAATTTAATGCCACCGTGTTATAACAGCATGAGTGGTGTTAGCCATCGTGATTTATTATGGTGCATTTAGATTGTTTTCAATGCTGGGCTAAATGGGTTAAATCAACACAGGCTTATTGGAAAAACGCAAAATACGTACCAATACAAATATAGTGCTGCGCAAAACCAAAAATACGTACCTGTACCAATACATACCACTGCAGTTTCCAAAAGAAATGAACACTGCAGGCAGTAAAACACCAAGCTCGTTTTATCCTTTTCATACAAAATTATGATTATGGGCAAATTATGTATTTGTAAAGACTTATTTTCACGCAGCTCCTTGCAAAATATTGTATTAGGACCTCAAAACACCTTTTACCATTGTGCATGATTTGTCAACGAATACTCTGGAGTTTGCATCACTTGACCAGCTCCATATGTTTGGCTTTTCTGACATATTAAGCTTGCTCGGTTGCTCAGCTGGTACAGAATTGTTCTTCTGATGTGAAGACCTCAGGTACGAATCCCGTGAAACATGAGTTACAAAAGAAGAGCTCAAAGAATCAAGCTAAAAGGGCATGGTTGCTTCAGCAATTGCGTTTTATTAAAAAGTTTTACGCATAAAGAAATAATCTTCTGAATGGTGTACAGTCACTTTAGATAAAGACTGTTGTAGTTTTCCATAAAATGGGTTTCAAACATGTAAAGTGTGGGTCACCCCCTCAATGCTTGTCAAACGTCAACTTTCACGCAATGTTTCACGCTCATTTGCTGCAGTCTCTGTAGATACGCTAGTAGCGTAGAGTTGTTTGGTGATGCGAAGAGCTGAAATTAGAAAATGGACCGTCCTTTACCAGTCAAGACAATGGGAAAATCAGTACTTGTACAGCCTAAGAAGCAGAAAAGGTCTCAAGACAAAACACAAGCATAAACATTGGCACGGGAGTAGTGTTGCCCAAGTTGCCATTTTTTGTTTGTTCGGTAAGGTAGTTATTGTGTAAACCGCTCTCTAAAATGTACTAGTATCAGTTTAATTTACATAAAACTCAGATACTATCACGTACAAGGACACGGAAGCAAAGATGCAAGTAACTCTATTTATTGAACTCTCAAGGTCAGAATAACAAGACAACTGGTGACGCAGGGACAAGATGATCAGGCGTCCGGTTGAAGAATGGTGAGGTGATGAGTGATGAGTGGTGAGTGGTGATGTAATCCAATGCCGGGGAAATCCAGTAAACAACGACAGGAACAGGACAAGAACTGAAACGCCGACAGGACCAGGACCAACACACACGAGGGACATCACACAACGATCTGACAAAGAGATGAGAATGCAGTGAGATTAAATAGGCGCGTGAATGGGCTGCAGCTGGTGAGTAGAGTAGGATCAGCTGGAGCGCTGATTAACTGAATGAAGTGGCAACGCCCACTCGCACACACCCACACAGATAACAACAGAAACACGAGACAAGAAGGAAACAGTGAATTCATAAACCGTGACAGTACCCCTCCTCCTAGGAACGCCTCCTGGCGTTCCCAGACTCCCTTACCTGTCGATTGTAATCATCAATAAGGGAGTGATCCAGGATGTCTCTAGCAGGTACCCAACTTCTCTCCTCCGGACCATAACCTTCCCAGTCCACCAAGTACTGGAATCCGCGTCCCCTCCGCCTAGAGTCCAGAATACGATTAACCGAATAAGTGGGTTCCCCTTCTACGAGTCGCGGCGGGGGAGGAACCGGGACTGGCGGGTTAATGCGAGAATAATACACGGGCTTAATCTTGGATACATGAAAGACGGAATGAATCCTCCTGTACACTGGAGGCAAGTTGAGGCGGACTGCCACCGGACTAATGATTTTGGCGACAGTAAACGGGCCAATGAATTTGGGAGCAAGTTTATTAGAAACGGAGCGAAGAGGAATGTTCTTAGTAGAAAGCCACACTTTTTGACCAACGACGTATACGGGAGGCTTTGACCGGTGGCGATCGGCCTTAGCCTTGGTGCGTGCCCCCACCTGGAGTAGAGTCTCACGGGCTCTAGTCCAAGTGCGGTGACACCTCTGGACGAAGGCGTGGGCGGAGGGGACCGCGACTTCGGATTCCAGACTGGCAAAAATTGGTGGCTGGTACCCTATACTACACTCAAACGGAGACAGACCCGTGGATGACACTGGTAACGTATTGTGGGCGTACTCCACCATGGACAGTTGTTGGCTAAATGAGGAAGGACTCTTGGAAACCAAACATCGCAACACCCTTTCCAAATCCTGGTTGGCTCTCTCGGTTTGACCATTGCTCTGGGGGTGGAACCCTGAG